TTTAAGAAACTAATCGTATTACTTGGTTCTACAATTAACACCAACGGAAGCAGCGGTCAAGACATCAGATGACATATTGCACTGGGCAAATCTGCTGCAGAAGACTTCTTTAAAGTGCTAAAGAGCAAAGATGTCTCCTTGAAGACTAAGGTACACCTAACCCAAGCCATGGTATTTTCATTTGCCTCATATGCGTGTGAGAGCTGGACAGTGAATAAAGAAGACCAAAGAAGTTGATGCTTTTGAGTTGTGGTGTTGGTGAAGAATGCTGAAATTACCATGGACTGCCAAGAGAATAAACAAATCTGTCCTGGAAGAAGTACAGCCAGAATGTGCCTTGGAAGTGAGAATGGCCAGACTTTGGCTCATCTAGTTTGGTCATGTTGTTAGAAGGGATCATTCCCTAGAGAAGGATATCATGCTTGGTAAAGTGGAGGGTCAGTGAAAAAGAGAAGGCCCTCAACGAGATGGATTGACACAGTGGCTGCAATGATGGGCTCAGATGTAGCAAGGATTGTGTGGCTGGCACAGGACCAGGCAGGGTTTTGTTCTGTTGTCCACAGGGTTGCTGTGAGGTGGAGCCTACTCAACGGCACCTAACATCTACGTTAAAATACAAAATAGTCTACTCATCACTGGGAGACTCATGCAAGTTGATTGAAATTGACTTTGCAGCAATGATAAAACCTAGGTACATTGTTCATGTTTGCTTCTCTTTCTAGCATGGAATAGATTTTAGTGAATGATCTTTTGAAAATAATCAAATTAAGAAAAATTACAAATTTTTATGAACTTCATTGGGTCTTTTGAGATGACTTTTATACTAGAATGACTTGGAAATACACATCTGAGCTGAATCAGAAAACTGAGTGGAAGATGTTTTTAAATAATTTATGCCATTAGAATTTTACAGGAAAAAAATAATAGTCTGTATTGTAGGAGCTCTGGTGGTGCAGTGCCTAAGGGATTTGACTGCTAACCAGAAGGCTGGTGGTTCAAACCTAGCAGCCACTCCACAGAAGGAAGACGAGGCATTCTACTTCCATAAAGATTTGCCACCTCAGAAACCCAACAGGGGTAAAGACAATTATGCAAATTTTAAAATTCAGCTTCATTGCAAGTATAATTTTAAGAAAAGCAAATTTATTGTAAAACCATAAAAAGATAGGAACTTAAGATCTAAAAATCTTCATTTAATTCCAAATTATTATGTACTATATGATTATATAGCTTTATTAGGCTGAAAGATATGTAGCCAATCATGTTTAGTTTTTATTTAAAACTTTGGGACAAGAGAAGGAGGAACGATAATCTTTGACAGTGATAGGAAAAAACAAGGTGGATTTTAACAGTGTTCTTTTTCATACTTAATTTAGTGAGTCACCTAGTGAAAATATGTGTGTATTGAACATAACTATCTGGAGCTGTGATTGCACAATGGCCACTGTTCCACCATTTCAGGAGGTAGCATTTTACCAAGAGCTGATGCACTGAGAAAGAAGTCCAAGCTGCTCTGAAGGTGTTGGTGAAAAA